GGCAGTGGCGGAGAGTGAGGAGGTCTCCCCTCAGCCTCCTCTGCTTCAAACCCAACAGCCCCAGCTCCTGCAGTCGCTCTTCGTAAGATTTACTCTCGAAGCGTCGTAACCCACCTGAGAAGTTCCTGAAAAGCTGAGCAAAAGTGGAGAAGCGGTTTCGGTGCAGCCACTGCTGGGCCTCCTGCGGCGTGCTGGTGGGCAGGAGGTTCTGCAAGGGAGGGGAAGAAGGGTCACAGCCTCAGAGGTGATGTGGAAGCATTTCCACTGAGCACTGAGCACGGGTCAGCTCAGGCAGCGTGTGCAGCCACAGTCTTGAATGGGAGACCCCAGAGAGGCAGCCCCGCAGCACACGCAGGACAAAGGCTGCAGCCCGGCCACGCTTTGATTTCAAAGCCTTCAGAGGGACAGAGAAAGAGGAAGGAAGGAAAGCAGAAAGCACCACGTAGATCAAGGCAGTAAGGCGAGGTCATGGCGAGCTACAAGAAGCTTGCTCGTGGCTGTACTGGACATTTTTCACCCCCTCACCTCTTTTTTCCCTACTAGGAGTCAAAAAGAAGTTTAGAACTCCCTGAAGATGTTGAAGCAGAGCAGTCTGTCCCCCCGAAAACTACAGCCCCCTGCAAACCTGCTGCTGGCTCCAGCCCCAAACCCCCTTTTCTGACCTGTGCACCATCCTTACCACAAGCATAAGCTCGGAGGTGTGACTTACATCTGCGATCGGAGACGGGGGCTCGGGCTGATGGTTTGGAGACCCATTGCTGTTGGGAGGAGGGGAAAAAAAAAAGAGACAGACAGAGCAGAACACGAGGTTAGTGCCACTCCGGGCACGGGATCCCTCTAAATCTCACCGCCAAGGCCACCAAAACACAGGGACAGACAGCTACAGGGTGTTGGGGTTGCTCGGTGCTAACAACCAGCTTGTTGGTGGGAGGAATGTGCCGGGGAAAGGCCGGAAGCCGAATTGCCACAAGCTTCTCACGGAAGAGTCAAGCTTCGCCGCAGCTAGGAGAGCGCTCGGCTTCAAGAGCTTCAATTTGATTTTTTCCCTCCATGGACACCCCTTCGGCTGTTTCCAGCAGCCTGTAACACCCTGGAACCAGCCCCTTCCTTTCGCTCGTGGGCACAAATCTCTGGAAATCAATTAGGGAGGCAGCCTCTGCTCCCAACTTACCCTTCACCGATGGTGAAACTGCTGTGGGAGCTGTTGAAGCCGGGCGATGGCGCGTTATTGACGTACGTTATCTCTGGCCAGGGAGAACACTAGAGAAGGAAAACCCACAGGAGTTACAGGACTGCTTCGAAAAATCGCGCCCATCTGCACAGCTACGTGCTGCCCGACAACCGACGACAAAACAGAATTAAAGAACAAAGCAGGGGATTAAAGGAAGCCGTGCCGCAGGCGGCCCCAAAGCCCAGATTTAGCCATTCTTCAATCTCCAAAGGCCAAAAGTCGTGGAATTCAACGGCGGTGAGATGAGGGATCTAAAGCATTGCTCCGGCGCCAGGGTGATGCACGCGGCGCCCACCGGCCCCGCGAACTGCTGATTCGGGCACTGCTGAGCATCCCCGAATTGCCCCGGGGCAGGGCAGGGGCTCCCTCCCCAGGGTTGTCCAGCATCGACCCCTCAGGCAATCGTATTTTTGTAGAGATGGATGCTCTCCGCTAGCCCAGGGAGGAAACAACAGTGTTTTCTGCCAGCTCACAACCGCAGCGGCCAGTTGCCACATGGGCAAAATGAAGCTTGTGGGGAGAGGTGAAAAGCTTTTATTAGATGATCTGCTACAGCCAGGGGAAAAAAATAAATAAAACCCAATTCCAGGCACAAGCGGCCTTTCTCAGGTCTAGTAAGAAACATTTCCCCCACTGACAAAACTGATCTTGCTTTTGTCTTGCAGCTATTACGACATGGCCAAAGGTTTCCTGGCAGAGCAGCCAGTTCCTACATCACAGCTCCTCGCCATCCCCTGCCGACGAAAGCCAGGTCTCCTTAAAACGCCGCCGCGCAAGAGAGCCCCCACCTCGGTGAGCATCGTTGTTTCGTAGGAGGGCTGGTACTTCTCTTTCTCGTGGGGTGTCCGCTTCTCCATCTTTTCCCTGTCCGTCTTTTGCTTCCGATCAGCTCCTTTGGGCTGGAAAGGAGATTTTTCCCATTAGAACAGCCCCCCTGCCGACGAAAGCCAGGTCTCCTTAAAACGCCGCCGCGCAAGAGAGCCCCCACCTCGGTGAGTATCGTTGTTTCGTAGGAGGGCTGGTACTTCTCTTTCTCGTGGGGTGTCCGCTTCTCCATCTTTTCCCTGTCCGTCTTTTGCTTCCGATCAGCTCCTTTGGGCTGGAAAGGAGATTTTTCCCATTAGAACAGCCGAGCAGACGGTGAGATAGACGGGCAAGAAATGCAAGAACCAGCAAAGGGGTCTCGTCCTCCTCACCCACTTGTTGCTTTAGAGGGAAGAGGGGTCAGACTACCCGCACTGATAACTAACTACGGCGACAGCATCACTTCTGTAACAACCCCAGCACCCTCATCTCCCCACGCCCCTGAAACAGGGCCCAGAGCATCTCGACAAGGAGGTGAAACGTTTTTTTTGGCAGAAATTTCTCCTGACGCTGGCTCTAAGGGGACAAAGCCCAGTTTCTGATGTCGAGCTGCAACTCCTGCACCTTCATCAACCGCTTTTCAGTGACACAAACTGCACTAGAACACGAGAAAACTCAACTGCACCCTCGGCTTTGCCACGACCTTGGAAAAGGCTGCACTCCCTCGTATGGACAAGGCGCTCCGGGCTCCATTGACACGAGGGGAACCAGAGAGAGAGCGGAAATGTGAAGCCAGAAGGACTGAGAGGCGATTTGCAGACAAGCTCGGCCACCGCCCTGCGGGGTGAACTGGGACTGGCTCCCAGTTTGTTTCATAGAATCATCGAACCATTCAGGTTGGAAAAGCCCCTCGGGATCATCGAGTCCAGCCACGAGCCCTACTCTGCAAAGCTCCCACCAAACCATCGC